TGGAACGTACTCTGGGCCCATAACCTTTTGAATAAACTTTCAGACTTGCAGAGTATAATTAAATGAGTGTAATTAATTATTTTAGAAAGTAAAACACCGCTCCATGTGCAGAACATAATGACAACTGCTTTATTACTTCTGTCATGGTAGCCAACCTGATTTACAATATGTTTGGGAGTCAGGATAGGCAACATTTCAATAGTGACAGTTTCTTTTTTACTAAAAATTTTCTATACTCTGTTTTTTAACCAGGAGGAGTAAACCAAAAAGACAGATTCACACTCAAGAAAGTTACTAGAAAAGTCACCAAATACATCTTCTTTTTTTGTTGATTATCTCGGCCTTGCGGTAATCGAGTAATCAATATTGGACAACCTCACACGTCAATTTTAACCTAACTTCGTTTATTTATGTTTGAATAACATCAAGTTAGAATCTATGGAGAAGCTATGAGCATATTAACGTATGTATTAAAAACGGCATAGGTAGGAGTGGCTAACTATAATACCAATATGGCGGTGACATCAGGGTCAGACTCAATAATAATAAAACTACTATACAAATATGACTAGTTATTCAGAAGATTCAATCATAATCTAAAAAGTGCAATACATTTTTAATAAACTATGATTTATTTGTCCCGCGGTAAACACTAAAAACACGATATATTATATATAAAGATAAATTAATAAAGTCAAATAGTATTAATTTATTCTCTGAAGTACGGACCATTACTTTGTTTACATATTTGTATACTAACCTGTGGAACGATATTCCTGAAGATTTTTTATTAACATAACTTCTGCTACTGCAACTACATTGAGAACAAGAAACCATTATTATGCACTATCACAATATATTACAGTTTCTATAAAATTATTATAAAACTAAAAATATTTGAAAAACAACAAATATAACCAAACATATACGATCTGTCAAAAGTTTCAAAACAATAATACCAATATGGCCGAAGTTAGGTCGTTTTTAGTCACGTGATGCCCTCTCCATAGATTCTAACTCGATTTTGAATAATAAAATTTTTTTTTTCAATTCACTTCCAATGTATATATTACAATTATTACAATCAAAAAAGGACGTTTTTCACATTTCGTGAAAAATTTTTGATGATTTGTTTTTTACATTTCACAGATGTATATATATTTAAATATCGGGTGATCCAGTTTTATAGATCTATTAAGTCTATGGTATTTAATTATAATTTAAAGAATATTTTGATCGGGAGAGTCAATAATGTTACAGATCTAAGTATGGTTTTTCTTAGAAATTTGTCTTTTAATAGTAGACCATATTCTTATTCTGGTATGATTAATTTCTTGAATCTAGTTTTTTTCTTACCAGATACTTTGTATAAATAAGTGTGTACTTACAATTTCTTTAATGCTGGACTCTTGTTTAATTTTGACAGTGAGTTTGTCACATTTGTTATCAACAAATAAAATTTACTAAAAAATACTGGATTTCTGCGAGATAATCAACAAATCTAATCTATTATGTTACATTCTTGCATAATTTTGCAGTTTTCTTGTGATGATCTACAACCAGGAAGAACAAAACCAACTGCATCGTACAATCAAACAAAAACACAACATTACTTTACTAATGTTCTTTTATTGTGATGAAAACAAAATGGAAATGCTTCATAACAAGTATACACTAAATTTAAAAGATAGTTGCCGTTTTTTCTTATGATAATTAGATATAAATAACATACATTTATAAATTTATAAACACTTTAAACTATATTTAGTATAAATATCATCTAGAAAATATCACATTAAATACTATTTGCATATCACCAAGTCCAAGTTATTACAAACAACTTAAACAGTCAGAAATTGATTTATATATTAGAGGAAAATCATGATACAAATACAAACAAATAAGATACCGCGCATGTGGGCGTGGCTTATGCATGACTTTTGTGACGTCAACTTGTGCTAAATTTCGCCATATTGTGTTTTGACGTTTATGTACATTTACGGTTCATAGCCAATATTTAATAAAATAATATTTTAAAAGTGTTACAAGGCTTTAAATTTTTCCCGATATGAGGGTTGCAGTGTATAGTTGTGCGTTGACAATATGTGCATGAGTTTTGTACCCGTACAGCATTTTATAGCTTTCCAAAAGACAAGGAAATGCAAGCTGTTTGGAAACATTTGTGTAAACGCCAGGATAATTTTAATGTTAGATTTGCTCGTGTTTGCTCTAAGAACTTTGTTGAAAGTAATTGAAGTGATGAATCGATCATTCAGGTTGGCAAAATATAAAACAGAATTCAACTACTTCATAAGTTTATAGAAGACATTTCGCTTTACACTTCTAAAGCTTCATAAGTTCTAACTCAATATGTGGTATTAAAGATGATATTATATATGTACTTAAGTTTACTCATTATTTAGAACTAACTTAAAAAAAAAACCATAAACAAAGTACACAAAAACTTTGCAAAAAATAATATTCGCAGAAACGAAGATTTAACAAAATTTTAAACGTACATTTGGCTCCATTTAGAGATGTTTTTTGATGAATTTTGTTAAATCTTCGTTTCTGCGAATGATATTATTTTTTGCAAAGTTTTTGTGTCCTTTGTTTCTGTTTTTGTTTAAGTTAGTTCTAAATAATGAGTAAACTTAAGTACATATATAAAAACATCTTTAATACTACATATTGAGTTAGAACTGATGAAGCTTTAGAAGTATAAAGCGAAATGTCTTCTATAAACTTATGAAGTAGTTGACTTCTGTTTTTTTATTTTGCCAACCTGAACGACCGATTAACCTCTGAATTCACTAGTTGAATACTTTATTAATATATATATATATATATATATATATATATATAATATATATATATATATATATATATAGCTGGGAGATTAAATAATTATAACCATATTTTAGCATATCCTGAAGAAGCTAATAAATTTTTGTGAAAGCTAAATAAAAGAACAAATAGTTTTACTTATTCTGCCCTATAAATGACTGCAACCTCAAAAGAAATAGTTTACCTAACGTGTCAGTCAATAATACCTAACTACTATATATAAAATATGTATTGTATGAAAATCACATTCCATAGTTTGCAATTTGTGCCGATGCCTTCCATCAAACTTCACTATTATGGGAAAATTGTTATTTTTTACAATATACTAATTTAAATACTTAAGCTTAAATTCACGTAGTAAATAAAATATCTAGTAAATTATATTAGAATTTCAACAGTTCATTTCATCCGCAAGCATGAATACATTTTGAAAATTTAGCACAAGGTGACGTCATGCGCGTGAGTGTACGAGTTTAGTGCGTGGCAATATCATATCTGGTATCCTTATATCATGGACGAAAATAATAATAATAAATAAATGTCACAAATGTCATTAGTGTCAATATGTCTTAATTTAGTGGAGTAAACTTTCCTGCGGTTGGACCAATTGCAAACAAGCATTACGGCGCGGAAAATTTGAATTACTCCTCCTGGTTAAGAAACAGACCATACTTTTAACTTGTTTGTGCTAAATTTCTGGTAGGTTATCCAAGTTTAATTTATGAATAATTGTATTTTCCCATTAAATGATATATCTGTCCCTTTTTTGAGTCGCTGCGTACCATTAAATGGACTGCAAGATAAAATATGATAGTTAAAAAAAATGTATAGAAAACGTTTTAGATTCTAGTTTCTAACGTTTTCTGCCATAAACTGACATAACGCATAGCTGCGCAATACAATTTATGTTTGCTTCACTCTTCGAAACGAGAAATATAGCATACGGCGTGTCTATAAGCTTTAATGGTCTAAGGTCTTAACCGACATTATGTTGGCTTCACTCTTTAAAACGGTGGTATAGCATACGGTGCGCGGTGTGTCTAAAAGCTGTAATGGTCTAAGATAAATACCGTTCGTAAACAATGTTACCCTCTGTCCACAGAGCCCGTAAAATACTTAATGTGAGGAAAACGAATACATAGGTAGGTAAAGAAATAATAAATAAGACTTACTCACAATCAATTTAATTTAACTATCAGACGACCTGTTTCGCTTTCTACAATATGCAAAGCATCTTCAGGTCTCGATACAAAGTTAAATAAATGCTGAAATGATAAAAACCCATATTAGGGTGTTGTCTAATAAAGATAGACAAAGTAGATGTTGGAAATTACAATAATTATGCCAATATTACATGTCTGTGGTTTTGTCTCAAAAAGAGTAAGTTGAATAAAAGGTATAAAAGTTTTAAAAGTTTAAACAGACAAGATAAGGCCCACAAATTGTTATAAAATAGTCTATTAGATTGTAATTAGTGTAAGTATTAGATTTATTAATTTATTAAAATCTAATAGACTATTTTATAACAATTTGTGGCCTCACCTTGTCTGTTACTTTTAAAACTTATACCTTTTATTCAACTTACTCTTATTGAAATAAAACCACAGACATGTAATATTGGCACAATTATTGTAATTTCCAACATCTACTTTGTTTATCTTTATTAGACAACACCCTAATATGGGTTTTTATCATTTCAGCATTTATTTAACTTTGTATCAAGACCTGAAGATGCTTTGCATATTGTAGAAAGCGAGACCGGTCATCTGATAGTTAAATTAAATTGATTGTGAGTAAGTCTTATTTATTATTTATTTACCTATTTAAAATGGACTCACACAAGCAACACATTCATGATTTGAATACATAGGTATTGACTGGCAACTGTGCTTGAAGGCAACAACACTCGATATAGGGTTAATGCGTAATATAATTTTAGCTATCTTTTAGTATTACATATTTATATACTATACTTTTGTATAATAGTATAATATTTATATATACTATTATACAAAATTGAACATCTAATATAGCAAATGCCTTCTTAACTGGGTTTCAAGATAGTTTTGCAGTTATGTTTACTTTATATTTGCCCCACAAAAAATTACTTATTCGACGATTTCTATAATATTTCCAACCAAATTATATTCTAGGAGGAAAATTTAGCATGATAAATATGAAAACGATTTTGGCTTATGTTCTGCGTACATATAAAATATTTACTGAATATAAAAGCATTGAGGAGATCAAATTATCGATGAACCTGGTTTTAAGACTAAAAGATGGACCAAAAGTCTGGATTGAACATAGATAATTTCAAAATGTGAAGAAAGCAAACTGCAATAATAAAATAAATATTAACACAACGAATGTCTTTTATTTCATTACTAATATTAGGATAGACCTGTGCTTTTTCATTTTACCAAATTTGTATTAGAATTTTTGACACCTTAGGGTTTAGAAAGTGTAGTAATTTTAATTTTATTTTTTTTTTATTTTAAAGACAAAGTCGCATCCACCTAATGGTATTAGCGACGGATCTGTACAATTTTACGAGTATGAATATATCGTAATATACCCAATCCAATAAATATACCTAATCGTAATCAGTTAACTACACTTTGTTCATGGCAATTTTTATAAAAAGGTTTGGTTTCTTTAACAGCGTCTTTAATTTGTTGTAGTTTAGACGTTAATATTTGCCATTCCTTATGCCAGATTTCTTAGATTTTTGCCTTAATAGAAAGTTTTAAGTCTTCTGGATCGCACTTTAATATTATTCCTGAGTCCGCTATAGACATTTCACTACGCACACTTAAGTCTGCTTATTCATTTCCGTGTATAACCGCAAGAGAAGGAATCCATATGAAGTCAACTGTTCTTGAATTTGATCATTTAAAAATTGGGTGTTTGGGAGATACTCGTTAAATTGAAGTAATTGAACTCAGAGAATTAGAAAGAATCACCAACGCTTTGATGGTATTGGTATCATTAATAAACTTAAAGTACAGTGATGAGATAGTTGAAATAGATATTTACTTGAATTTGTCGATGACTTGTTCCCTCAGGAATGAGAGAAGAAGAATCCATCGCTCTGTCCGTCGCTGTATGTGATCGTAAAGGATAAGGATTACGTTCGGAGGCCATAGACAAGGTCTATGGTCCGTAGCTAAGGATAAAAGGGCTTAAAAACACACAAATAATGTTTATGAAACAATAAAATAACAGTCAGATACTAAACCTAAGAATCTGCAAAAAAAATGATAATTATCTTAAGATTGAGAAATCTATAAGATAATTATGCCGATTAGGCCTAAACTAAGAATCTGAAATAAATTTATAATTAATTAAACACCTAAAGGTCATCAAAGAAATAAATTAAAAATTTTGAAAATTGTGGAAAAAGTCCAAAAGCCAAGAATAAAGTGTACGAAGGAACCGAGCCACAACCCCAAGAACAGGTGGGGTTGTCAGGCGTAGTGCCTTTCGGCCTTCGGAAGTTATTTTTGGACCTGAATTTCTTCAAAGTCCAAAAAAAATCTTCAAAAATTTTGAAAATTGTGAAAAAGTCCAGAAGTCAAGAATAAAGTGTACGAAGGAATCGAGCCACAACCCCAAGAACAGGTGGGGGTTGTCAGGCGTAGTGCCTTTCGGCCTTCGGGAGTTATTTTTGGACCTGAATTTCTTCAAAGTCCAAAAAAAAATCTTCAAAAATTTTGAAAATTGTGAAAAAGTCCAGAAGTCAAGAATAAAGTGTACGAAGAAATCGAGCCACAACCCCAAGAACAGGTGGAGGTTGTCAGGCGTAGTGCCTTTTCGGATTTCGGAAGTTATTTTTGGACCTGAATTTCTTCAAAGTCCAAAAAAGCTCTTCAAAAATTATGAAAATTGTGAAAAAGTCCAGAAGTCAAGAATAAAGTGTACGAAGGAATCGAGCCACAACCCCAAGAACAGGTGGGGGTTGTCAGGCGTAGTGCCTTTCGGCTTTTGGAGGTTATTTTTGGACCTGAATTACTTCAGGTCCAAAATAAGTCCAAAAATAAAATCCTGAAAAAATAGTTATTTTTGCATCAAAATATTTTCAAAGTCCCTAAAAATAAAATAGAACGAAAAAATTTTACAAGTAATTTTTGCACCAAAAATATTTCAAAGTCCCTAAAATAAAATATAAGTGAGGTCCAACCCTGCGCTTAGTTGATAAAGTGCCAATTAAAATCTGCTCTTACTAAAACTAACTTTTCAGCGGATTATAATCAAGAAACGTAAAATATTGTTAGCTAAATAGTGTATTTAAACAACAAAGTTTCTTCACACAAAAAACAAACTGTGAGTGCATTACCAATTTACTACAAATTCAATATTAGTAAATATTATACATAACCCATAATTCAACACAACACATCAATTAATCCGGTTCCTGGTTTTTTGGCAACTTCCATAAGTCCAAATAATTAGCCGATACAGGACCGGCTTTCGAAAATTAAATCAAATGAAAACAAAAATTAAAAATGGATGATTCTGAAAATATTAGCATACCTACTACATCATCAACATCGACATATTCCAATGCAGTAAGCAACTTCAATTTGCCTTTAAAAGAACAAGCCATTATTCTATCAGCTATCCAAGGTATTAAAATACATAAATACATAGTACCCATAGGATCTCTACTCACACCAAAAAATGTTATTTTTGCATCACGAATAGCGAACAACCGAGTTTGCATTTACTTGAACAATTCTAGCATAGTAGATACCTTACTAAACATCCATAAAACTGTAGTCATCCAAGGCAATGAGATTACTCTTACGCCTTGAGTGACTTATTACGCCAGCAAGGAGACTAATAATATCAAACATCTGCCCCAGCATCCCGAACAGTATTCTAGAAGACGAACTGGCACGAAAGTTGGCATGCCCGAGTCTGAGTATAGTCATGTCTTAAGCTTTAGGCGGCAAATATTTGTCTCTCAGATAATCATCAAACCAATTCCAAATACAATCTTAATAACCTATGACAACACTCCTTAGAGAATCTTCCTATCCCTAGATGGTTTAAATTGCTCTAGATACAATACTACTGGTCACAACGATGAAAACTGCACATCTACATCAACTGGTACAGAAACACTTAAAGATCCATCTCAAGTGATACAAACATACACCTCAGAACTCGAACCCATGGAAGTAAATCAGAATAATTCAGCAAAAAAATATTTCAGATGATACAACTAAGTGTTCCAATCCTACTTCTGCAGATATACCAAGGACAAATGATTCGCTTATAGTACACAATATACCTTCATCTACAGCTAATAGCAATAATACTAAAATATCCAATCAAGCAAAAAGACAAATTTCAACCTCTCCTGAAATCTCGGAAACTAAAAACCTAAACGAAACTTTTGTAACTCCAAAAAAGTCCGCACCAAAAAAGAAGAAAGGGCTTTAGATATCGAAGCCACATTAAAACTAATTGAAAACATTTTAATGACAGCATCTCCTTCATACACGCTAAATATCTCTGAATTATGCGACTTCGTTATAAACGCAATGGGATCAAAATTTCATGAAGTCACAGCTAAAAACTATACAAAAAATCGAGCAGTACAGCAAATATCAAGTGGTGGAGTCGAAATTTTTGTACATTCAACTATCCTATAAAAAGAAATTCCGTTAAAAAAACTACTCTATTAGAACTTCAAAATGTAATTAAACGAATTCCATCTCCAAAATTAATTTTGGGTGACACAAACTGTCACAACATCGCATGGGGATCCAAAAAAACAGATAAAAATTCACGAATATCATTAGAAGCAATTAATAACATAAAACTAGTTTTGCTAAACGCAGGAACACCTACTAGATTCAATGCACATAATAGCACATTTTCCTCCATACACTATCTATCAGTAATTCAACTTTAGCTCCATTCTTATAGTGGAATACATTGGACCACCTATACGACAGTGATCATTTTCCAATAATAATTATTCATGACAAAGATGAAAAAACCAGTACCACACCATATGAAACGTGGAAATTAAAGTCAACTGATTGGGAAAAATACTCGAACTTAGTAAGCACACGTATACCAAATCTCGTTATAACAGATAATATAGACACTACTCTATCATCTTTCAACGGTATAATTTTAGACGCAGCCAGAGATTCTATAGGAAAAACCAAAAATATCACAAAAGCTCCTCTTCCTTGGTGGAACATTGAAATCGCATCCGCTTTAAAGCAAACAAAACATGCTTTTAATATATACAAGAAGTATAACTCACCTAATAACTTAAACAATTTTAGATCCTTAAGGGCCAGATCTAGATTTTTAATAAAGAAAGCAAAAAAAGAGAGCTGGACCAATTACGTGTCGTCAATTGACTCCTCTACGCCCATAAGGGATATATGGCAAAAATAGGGAAAATAAAAGGCTCAAAAACATTTAACCATATTGACATAATAACTACAACTGATCTAATAACTTCAGACAAACAAGAAATCTCAGAAATTTTAGTAGAACAATATCAGTTGTATTTAAGCGATCAACAGTACCACCCAAATTTCTTAGAACATAAAGAAAGAACAGAAATATCAAAAATCAACATAGAAGATACTGCTAGTCCACTAAACACCTCCATAACCTTAAACACTTAATAACCTTAAAAATACCTCACCTGGAACTGATGACATACAACCAATTTTCTTCGAAAAACTACCTATAAGCGCGAAGGTTACTTTAGTAGAGATCTTCAACAAAATTTATTCGACCTATAAATTTCCATCTCTCTGGCGCGAAGCAATTATAATACCATTTTTAAAAGACAATAAACCAAAAAACTTATCTTCTTCGTATCGACCAATATCTCTTACCTGTAGCATCTGCAAAATAATGGAAAAGATTCTAAGCAAAAGATTAAAATGGCACTTAGAAAATAAAAATCTCCTTACATCCATCCAAAGTGGGTACCGATCAGAACGGTCTACAATAGATAATATTATAGCAGTAGAATCTGAAATACACGAAGCTTTTATACATAAACATAAATTAATAGCTATTTTCTTTGACATCACAAAAGCATTTGACACCACGTGGACATATCCCATCTTAAAAACAATGAAAAGTTGGAAAATAGATGGCAAATTCTTAGCCTTCACCAAAAACTTCCTGGAGAACAGAAGTATAAAAGTTAAAACAAACGGTATCATGTCAACTAAGAAATCACTGGAAAATGGTATCCCTCAAGGATCTGTATTAAACCCCCTGCTGTTTTTAATAGCAATCAACAACGTATCTAACCATTTTATGCTTCCAGTAAAAGCAAACCTTTACGCCGATAATCTTGT